ACCGAGACAGACAGACCCAAACAGACCGACCGAGACAGATAGACCGAGACAGACAGACCCAAACAGACCGACCGAGACAGATAGACCGAAACAGACTATTGACATCGTGCGTGTGTTCGTCCGTGTCCTGCCCGACCGAGACAGACCGACCGAGACAAACAAACGCACACACTCCGTGCGGGCGGCTTCGAGCGCGAAGCGCTGTGAATATGCATACACCAATCTGAGAAATGCGCACCGTTCGGAAGCATTTTGGGCCCTGGTTGGGCCGGCAAAATTACGTTTAGTTCTTAAGCACTGGTGCTTGGGATGCTTGTCTCAGATTTTCGCATTGTAAGCACTTTGAGGAGGATTCAACCCATGCATGCTTTGTTATGCAAAGCTTAACAATGATCTCTTCGCACTCGGCATGGTTGACCGGGAAAGGGAATGAGACCGATTCTGCCTGGCCTCACCAAGTAGTTCACTAAAGTCCGGACACCCTCCTTGGCTGTGAGCAGCTTAGAGTTCAGTACAAGTAGTGAGTTCAACGGATTTCCAAGATCACAAAGCGTTGCAAAGAAAGTATCACAAGCGTGGAACCAGGTCGAACATGTTGAAGACGTGTTGGTCAAACAGAGCCTAGTATCGTCAGAGATCTCGTTCCGGGCAAAGCTCAGCCTCAGCGAATCCACCAAAACTGCGCGCGTGCTCCTACAGTCAGTACATGCTGTCCCGGGATTCGCACTTGGAAGCTACCAGGTTGCGCCTCTTTCCATCCTGGGCAAGCATCAAAATAGCATAAAATAGCAAGAATGTGCATAGTCAATTCATACCAAATCGACGTCTGTTGTGGAAAACTAGATAGATGCAAAGCATACATTGACCGTGGCCAACAAAACGCAAAAGTGCTGAGTGCGTGCCATAGACAACCTGTGTCGTACTTCTTGATTCTTTTGGAGGCCCTAAGAGTCTTCCATGCAAAGGGCCAGGCTGGAAAGAGCATCTGAAGTTGCTTGTCCATCCAGGAACACCAATCCTGAAGTCATCAAAAATATTGATATGGACAAAAAAAATGTGAGGCAATATGCCGACACCAACCAACTTGGAGCAGCCCGCAGCCTTTCAAAATGCAGTCGGTGTCTGAACCACAATTCATGGGTCCTCGATGCCATCATCGTTGATAAACTTCTCTTCCAACCTCGTTTCCGGGTGTCAAACTGCTCTTAAATCGCGGGCTCCCTAGTTCAAGCACCCTATGCTCATGAGTCCTGTCATACAAATCCCGAGAATGAACTCTGTTTAGTTCGGCCAACACTTTTGCGCCAGGGTCTCTACAAGAATGAGAACCTTAAGTCCCTCGCTCCAACTTGAAGTGCTCATCATCTATCCAATCGATCTGCCACCTGAGATTACAAGGGAGGACATGTTACTTCAGAGGTGGCTTTGGCAAAACAAGCAGCTCAGGTCCTTGCGAATCTTGGTTTGGGCCCCACCGGCCTAACAAAATGCTACTGGTACATGTCCATGACACGTCGCATTTTGAAGTTGATCCAACAAGCAGCCGTTCAATCACTTTAAACACTGCAGTACCCTGTTGAATGCATATGCAGCAGAACAAAAAGATCATAGCTACGAATCGCCAGGGAGACAAGCAAAGAAGCAGCAACCACAAAAGTGGCAAAGGCGAAGGATACAGAGCCAGGATGAACCAGGTAAAATGGACGAGAAAGCATGGCACAAACAAAAAGACATGCCAAATATCCGACATGTTTGGTCAAGTGCGTAGTGACCTTAACGCGCACCTTGTCCAGCAAGCTTGAGGAGAACCCCCACCCCCAATGGACATCAACATGACTCGTCAGCCGGTGCCTCCACGACCAAGTGACTTGCCGCCATAACCATCATGCCACGAAGGATACATGTCATGTGATGGGCAACGGCCTTTCAGCTGCTTGAAAGGCATCTACGTAGGAATCTTTACAGGAATCCTGTTTGGAAGTCGTTTCCTCTGGTTATTCTTTTCGAGTTACCTCTTTCAATTATATAAAAGTCTGATTGCCTGGCAGCGGGCTTTTCCAGTGCCACAGCCTGTCTCTAAGCTACGATTCCCCTTTTCTGATCATGTACAAAGGGTTCAACCTGGGAAGGAGGTGGAAGTTGCTCAGGCAGTCTGTCGGTGATGTGCCCACATCTGCGCTCCATTGAGATGGCAACAAATCTGCAAGACGGAGGACCGAGGACACGGTTTCATTGCGAGTATGAGAACGATGTTCAATGCACAACCAAATATATAGTGCTAGCAGCATTCAAATGCCATGGACTTCCCTGGCAGGAAAACATGTTTGCTGCAGCAGTGCGCCAATGCCAATGGGAAAGGCCAAATACAACTATTTAGCTATCAAAGCCCAGAGATTGAGGCATTGCAGCATTTTGCAAAGAGATGCAAAGAACAAGAAAAGCTTTACAGGAGCTATTGAAATCAGCTCCACACAACGGATACCAAATGGTACCAGGTCTGACAAAACTGCATCCGGAGCATTCAGCATCCTTGTGCGAAACAAGCTATGTCGCCACTACTTTACACAATAGTGGACAAATTAGGCGCATCCTTCTCTGTGATGGGCACCACCAGGGAGAAGCTGCTGGAATAGTGCAGGTTTATAGCCAAGCTCTCCTGTCAAATTCAGGAGCCAACTCACGAACTTGGCTGATCCTGGTCCTTTCAGTATCCAGATTCAACGTCAAGGTACCAAGGAACTATCCGCTAAATATAATCTAAGATGGATTTTAGAGATACCTTAAAGATGATCTATATAAAGCAACTCATATCCTTTACTTTGGTACAGGCCGAAACAGGCTTGCAAAGGATTATGTGTTTGTTGGAAATAAGTTCGTAGCTACTTAGCTATATACTAGTTTGAAAAACAAACTGACAGCATCGCTTCCAGCCCCTGCGCATGCAGGCCAATTCTCCTCGGCGTTGGCAGGCTGGTAGAGCTCTGAGAACATGTTGAGTGCCAACCCCACACCACCCATGCCCCAGCCACCCAGATCTTCACAAAGGGAACGAAGCGTGATATGATGAGTGCCTGAGGTCTCAAGAACATGGTGACACGATCCGAAGATCTGCTCGGACAGGAGCCGAATACTGAAAACCGAAAGCTCACGTCGCCTCTCACACCAGCAGTGCAATTCCAGCAGGTGACGGAGCCATGGCTGATCAGGGTGCCTTCCAAGTGCCACAAAGCCGATTGTGATTGTGGATGCAAGCGCCAAGCACACATTAGTGCACACATTCATATCATACTAATAGGTTTGTTAATACCTCCACTATCCCCATTCGAACGGTCGAAGAAGACCGAACCTACTTTGGTTCGTCGGTTCACGCCAAAGAGGTAGGCAACAATCTGCCATTTGGAGTGTGAAGCTGTGAGATCCAACGTCAGTCGTGGAGTTCCACAGAGTCTCCTCAGTGTGCGGAAGAAACTCTGTAGAAGATTCCATGCAACGACTAGCCCACGAGAAAACTGAAAAATATCACAAGGAGTAAAGGAGTCTGAATGCTGTACAAGTTGTTTGAGCAAGCTATGCTGCAAAGCTTCGTGTCCGAAACCTCCTTGTAATACCAAATTGCATGTTGCCTTTGCGAAGCAACCGGCTAAACAAATGTTAAAGGAGGGTAGGAAAAGCCGGCGTGTTTGTGCCTGGAGCTTGAAAGCAACTTTGAGCGGATGCGATGGTCAACAAAAACCTGCATCGCCTCGCCAACATAAGGAAGGCCTGCCACATTTGCAAAGCTTTGCATTTCCAGCGAATCCAGAAAGTCAAGCATTTGAAAGAGTGCAGGCAGACTTTGCAGTACGAGTAACATCTTTTGCAGAAGTCCTGTTCATGATTCACCCTAAGTTAACCTTGTTGGCCCGCTCGTGTCTCATTTCAGCGCCACGCCTGCTGATATGCCTGTGGCCTTTGAGAAAGTGATTGTGTCAAAGACTTGCTCTGAGGGCGACGCTTTGGTCGCTAGTTCTCCGTACAAGTCAGTACCTCGCGGTGAAGGCACCTGACGAGCCAGGCAACATTTGCACAGGCTGCGTCTGGTGAGGAATGTGGGGCATCCAGTCAATGGAGCCCGCATGAGTGGCATGCTGTGTCGCTTAGGCCGAGTCGCAAGAGTGCTGTATTCAATACGGGCACTAGGCCACAGGTCAAACTGCTCTCGCGTTGCCCAGTTTGAGCGCAGTTGCATTTCCAGGAGTGGCGGTGCTGGGTAGGCTTCACCCTTCAAATAGGTATGAAGCCATTTCCTGGGCACACCAAATTTCACAAACCAAAAAACATTTATATAAAACAATACCTACCATATTCTACTCATACAATAACTAAATGATACTAAATGACCAGAAACATGTGGGTGCTCATGTGACAATGTGTCCGAGGACCGACGCATGGCAGCCAGGACACTTAGCCTCCGCCCATACATGGTTTTTGAGACCGAAAAGGCCTTGCAGTTCAGGAAAAGTTAGGCTTTGAGCACCAAACAAAATTAAGTCTTCTTCCACGGGACGTAGATATACATATATATATGTGTGTTGTTCCTCTACAACCCTCCACAACGTTCCAACTTATGACACCCTTGGGCCCATATCTACCAAAAGCAAAGCGTGTCCTACGTTGTTCCGCATTGTGGGGGTGATGCACATTGTTTCCTCTTGAAGTGTCCAGTAATGTCTTGTGTTGGTCAAGAAATTGACATTTTGAGCAAGTCAAAGTGAGACGCTTACCACTTTCATACTACACCATACTACACCAGGAAAACCGGGGCATGCGTCTCAACAGAACCAGCCGCCCGTGAAATGGTTTCAACAAAGTTGTTGGACGCAACGTGCTTAAGACATTTTAAACGGTCGTTTTTGCATTTAAAGAGCATTGGTTGGTCCATGAGGTCAAACATGATCAAACATTAAATCACAAATAATGATAATTTCGGGAGGGCGCGAAGGTTGGTGGGCATCAGCTCTTTTTTGTCTTTAGCAAAGTGAGCCCAACAACTACAGACTGTGCAGTTCACAAAATGATCTCCAGCCTGAAGCCTGCAGCTTCGTTTGCAAAATACGGGTGAAATGAACGCGGAGCAATGAGGGAAACATGCTGAAACATGCACACACAATGCACCAAACAAATGGACACTGTGAAATGTGGCCCTCTCCTCTTGCCCAAACAACACGGCCCTGGTCGCCTGGAATCTCAGCACTCGCGTGAATGCCCTGGTTCAGCAGCAAGCGCTTGGGCCCTTTGTAATGCCTCAGTCGGGCTCAATTCGCCTGAAAAACAATGCAATGCAAACGCATCGTCACTCATCTGGAACATGGTTGCAGGGTTAGAGCAGGATTCGGAAACTAATCGATTGGATTCTGAAACCGGTATTCTGAAACTGGAAAGTCAGATTCTGCAGCTGGTGTTCTGAAACTGAGATCCTGGATTGCAATTCCATCGAACGATTGTCCCCCCAACTCACTCACTCCAGCATTTGCTTTTAAACTTGGATGCTTGGGGCCTGTGGTTGTGTTGCCGGAATCCTGACAGTTATGGAATCCCAGTTGCGGATTCCTAAACTCGGAACAAATAGTTGCAAAATCGGACTTTATCTATGAATCCACGGTTGCAAAGATCGATGGATGTTACTGTTTTCTGGAATGTTGCAGCTGAGTGTCTCGAGGAATGCCAGCGCATCATCCGGGGAGAAAACGCGATCCTAGCAGAAAAGGAACAGCCCAAACTGTGACAATTCGGACCCAACTCCAAAACAGTATCCTACTTGGCTGCTTACATCAGCTTAAATCGCCCTGAACCTTACAATGCCTTACAACGTTCGTCGATTCCGTCAGATCAGTGAGCAAGTCTTTCCCCTTTGTGATTCACGAACTTAGGGGGATTATGACTTGACAAAATGTTCTACTGGTATCTAGAGGTAGTAACTGAGGTAGTAGTAGAAGTAGTAGTAGTAGTCGTCGTAGTCGTTAGCAGGTAGTAGGCAGTAGGGACTAGGTAGTAGGCAGTAGGCATAGGAGGAGTAGTAGTCGTAGTATGTCGTAGTCGTATTCGCACTAGTAGTAGTAGTAGTAGTTGTTGTTGTTGTAGTAGTTGTTGTTGTTGTCGTAGTGGTGGTAGTGGTAGTAGTGGTAGTAGTAGCCGTAGGGTTAGGGGTGGGAGTAGGACTAGGAGCAGTAGCACGAAATCGCTTAGTTCCTGACTTGGAACACGTCTAAAGCAGCTGAACCAATCTGCAAGGTGTTCATCTCTATTAGCAGGGTGAAAACGGCAGGCGGGACACGGCCGCCTCAAAGTTGTTGGACATGAAAATTGGCAGCTTCCGAGCCTTTGGTTTCACCGTTGAGATTTTGCGCAGACTCCAACACAAAGGGACACAAGTTGCAGGAAAAAAACACTCAAACATCAGCAAGTAAATTTCAGATGTTTGCAGTTTGCAATGACTAACACGCAAAATGAAGCACTAACATCGTCAGCCATGGCCATGATGGGGGTTGGCGGAGTTGGGAAACAATCCAAACACATCTCACATGTCCAATCCGCACCTCCAAAGCCGAGAGGTTCACACTGCGTATTTGAGCAAATTCAGCAAAACCGGAGATATTGCCTGCGAGCATCTGTCGATATACCTCCACATCAGGGCCGGATGGAGTTTGAAACAAAACGATGGGTAAATCACATCGGGTTTCAACCGTGGCCTGGTCAAGCAAACGCTCGGGCTTGCCAACCTGAAGAGTCATATTGCTGGCGTTCAATTTAAGTGTTTGCAGAAAGGGCCCTGAGCTCTGAACAACATGACTCAGCAGCACAAGCAGGGTGCCCCAAACCCGGCTTGGAGAACCTTCATTCATGCAGCTTCATCCACATCTTTACCCACAGTTTCCCACGGGCTTTTGACATACAATAAAGCAAAAACACAAGCCTCACGGTGTATAAACTATGAACTTTCTTCCAACAACAAGGCTGACTCCAAAAGTAGCGCTTCAACGGTTGTGAGACATGGGGTACCAACTCTCAGACTGGTTTAATTCGCAGTTGTTTGGTTGATAAGCACCACACTTCGGCAAGGGGGTGGCATGGACCTTTACTGTGCTTAGTGCTTGTAAAGGCCACCAACCTTGAACATTGTAGAAAATGAGTGCGGACAGTGTTTTGTTCCACAGAGGGTTTACGGTTCACGTTATACGCATTGATCTGGAACTTTATTCCCGGGCCCCTCCTTGGCACAAAAAACTGTCAGCTCACCATTCTGAAGGTGAAACTAGAGCTTTCAGAGATCGAAGAGGCGCAGAAGGTGGATGCCAAGTACGGAAGCAAGAAGAAGGAAGAAAAACATCAGAAGTTGAGCGCAGAAGATCCACAGAGGCCTAATCAAATGATGGATATGAGATGATATGAGTTCCTAGGTCGGAACAGCTGCCCTCTGCAAACAAGGCTTGCAAATCCTGCCGTGATAGACCTGTAAAGTTAGCCCAGAGGCGGCGACAATGGGGAGGCAAAGAAACAGGGGCGGGGTCTATTGAGGTGACTTGCAGCCCAAAATACTTCAAATTTTACAGTAGTAGCTCCCAGATAGATCCAGATAGCAAACAAAAACAAAAATAACAAAATGACCGTGGGACAGGATTGTCTCGTACAGCTGGAGGTAAGTGATTGACAGAGGAAATGCAACTCCAAAAGACACTTGTTAAATCACTTTTCCCAAAGGCGAACACTGCACCGGTTTCGTGAGGTTGACAAGGGCGCATGGAGCGGGTCCTGGCTACCAAAATAGCAGTGGTAAGTGCACTTTACGCCTGTGCTAGGATGGTCTTTCCATCTGCAAAGGGACTTTATTGATCCCTGAAAAGGTTTCGCAACTTGTTGCTGGGCAGGGCGTTGACCTGAATGAAAATTTGAGGCCTTATGGTTGGACATTGATCAAACTCACATGACAATTTAATGAAAAGTCGTGACAAAGGAACAACTTTGATAAAGTGTGTAACAAGAGAAATGCTGAACATTTGATGAAGTCTTGGTGCAGTTTCGATAAAACATCATCAAACAGTTTTGCCTCAGCTTCTGGATGGACATTCATTGGAAAGGACAGTCTGCGCTGCAAGAATTCCATCCTGCATATAATTTTGTGTCAATTTCACAGGAGCAGGCTTCTCCAAAATATATACTTGGGACTTGGGACCAGCAAGACTCATACATCCTTGCCTAGTGTGGTGCTTTAAAGGGTCCAAACATTGTGGCAAAGTTGTTTGGATGGATCCACGTCTCCGAAAGAAGGCGGCCTTGAAAGAAAGGCACTTGATGTATCTTAGGCACAAAATTGGCTGAAAAACAGGTGGAAGCAACATGCCAGCAACAGCAATCACAAGCACCTCACAAGTAATCCACAAGTAAAGCGAATACTTGGAACTTTGCCCACCAGTGATTCACAAGTCAAAGCGGTACTTGAAAACATGCAAGAATGATACTTGAGGACACGAGGTAGTCTACTTGTGGCACCTACCGTGACACTACCTCTGAATTTTACCTGTGGAAGCCTTTACGTCCCTGGCGCACTTCTGCTGCAACCTAAACATATTTACAATAGGTTTAGGTCCAAATTGTCCACCTAAGTTGATCAAGTGTCCTAAGTCTATATAGTTATACTCTGTGCAGATGAGTTAGGAGTTTGGTGATCTGATGAGTTAGCACTTGCCTGGGGAACGTCTCAGCTCATGTGTGCTGGGATGATGGACATGCTCTACAGAGACTGAAGAGATAGGAAACACACAGGGCAACCCTGCATGCAAGTCCCATCTCACAAAGGTCTGGACACGTTTCGGACACAAGGTTTCAATTGCCGGCATGCACATGGCACATCCCGTTGACATTCTATCAAAACCATTCAAAATCTTGGCGTTTGTCCACCGCCAACCATGTCGAGTCCATCATAGGCCTCACAACTCCTACCTCATGCGTTGTCATCCACAAAACCTCTCCAAAGTGCTCCAAAGCATGCTAAAGAAAAAACTCTACAAAGCTCATGTTGAAATCATGTTTTCAGTGCCTCAGGCTCATGAGCTAGGAGTTATGTATGAAATAATGGCCCAAATGCACTTTTCCACATGAGATAGAACTCATGATTTTGAGATACTTCCGCCAACTCCTTAGTCATCAGTATACAGTATATACTAAATTACTAAATTCTGGTATCTAGCAGACTTGGGCCACCGGCAGACCATCGACGACCCATAGCTCTTACCGTGCTTTCTGCTCTTCAACCTAGCATCAATATAGGCCCAACACAACATGTTGGTGGTAAGCCCTTAATCTGGCGATGCAGTTTTTGGCATCCAGCTAAGCCTGGCTGTAGCTGTACGGGGGTGCGCTGGATGCCGCCAACCCGCATCTTCCGCATCACCCGCTCATCCAAATTCTCCACCAGAATAAACAAACGCCACCTATTTAGTCATAAATTACAGTGGTTTTTGCAGTTGTTGAATGAACACATGACTGTTGGCAACACCTCAAAACTGCCTAAATACCCGTGGCTTGGGCGGCAAACGCTGTATGAACCTTGTTTCGTGCTCCTAATGCAAAAAAAAACGTAAATGCGACGTTGTTGCAAAGGACGATGACGACGACAATGGTTGGGGGTCAGCGGTATCTGAGTACAGCAAGTGTCACAGTGGATACACAGCCCTTATGGCATCGCCGGTGTGCGAAGATCCACAATGAAAGAAAATAGAAACCTCTTGTAAAGAACTGTCTGCGTAAAGGCCTAAAGGACCCTAAAGGCTTAAAGGTGTCTTTTTGCAGAACTTGTCTTAGAGCTAGAGGCTGGGCCACTGCATGCCACTAAGGGGTCCAGCCCTGCCTCCTTTGAAGAGCGCCTCTTGGAAGTCTGTCCAACCACTCATGGCCACCACTGCTTTGATCCGCACATCTCGAACGGCACCGAGCAATGCTAGGCCTGCCCCATAAGAGATCCCAACCATGGCCAAGCGTTCGGGGTCTGGCTGCCAGTCACCTCAATCAATGCTCGCGACACCACCATGAACCTTTTGGCATCTGATCTGAAGATCTTAACACCAATTTAATATTTAAGGTCGTTGGGAGCAATCTGAGTTTCATAGTTAGTTAGTTTAAGGACGCTGCCGAGGCACTGCGATTCAATGTATAGGAAATTACCTCCGAGATGTCTCGTTGGTCCTTTTCTCCAGCACAGTCGATCTCCCCTCCGGAGCGATACCAACCACGTGTCTCCTTGGAAAACATCGCATCAAGATGGTTTCTCCAAAGCAAAACTGCGGTATCAGGCAAATTCAGGCAGACAGCGGAAGGCCGGCACACCGAAGAAACAGGTTGGCCAAAGTGCTTAGAACTACAAGTGCTTCCATGCTGTTCCGCTATTCTTCTGTGGCTCATATTCCAAAATGATGTAACCAGCGCGAGCAAGCTCTTGTGCTTGCACCACATACCTGATAAAATGGTCGTCAAAGTGAACAGACTGTCAGACTTTCGACAACTTTGCCAAAGTTAGAAAAGGCACTCGATCTGCGGGACGCTCCAGGAGTTGGCCATAATCAAAATAGGAAACTTCTCGCCCGTACTTGTCATTGGCAGGCTCACGTCTGCCCGCAAAACTGTACCATCAAAGGAGGTGATGGTCAAAAACTTCAATTTCTTCACCTTCCAGCGATCCAAGTGCCAACGTGCTTCTTTCAAGAAGCCGTAACTGTGTTGCAACAAGGTTCATTCACGCATCTTGTCAGTTGATCGCTTGTGGCCACCTCGTAAGCATAAGACGCTATAAATAGTAGAGCCGCAAAAATCCTCAGAGGGGCATCCATCGAATCAATTGCATTGAGATCATTGAGTAAGATCTGGAATGTTTCCTGAAAGCACATCAGCTACCAGCCTCCTGATCCAAGAGCGGCCACAAGCCATGGCAAGCAAATACGGATACAAACTTCAGATTCAAAGGCTGAATCTTACTGGTCTGCAGCCTCTGCAGCCTGTTCCAAGAAATACGTTGCTCTCTTGCTTGGCTCAAGAAAATCCAGTTGTTTTGTGAGCAGGATCTCCAAAGGCGACTGACAATGACAATGATCTTACAATTTGACGGCAACAGGTCCTAGACTGAACGGCGAGGCCGAACTTAAGCCTTGTCAACAGAGTTTTGGGTGATGTGGGGCAACGCTTCTTAATGGGAGTTGCAAGTCATACGTCATACCATTAGTCAGGCGGTACTTTGTCGATCTGCGACAATCTCAAGAGGACAATCTGTCGCTCTTCGTGGTGTATTGAAATGGATAGGTGGCTGCTGAAGCTGCTGTCCCTTTCAATCAGCCCTGAGTCTCGACGAGTGCTGAAGTGGTGACGTCATGGGATGTCGGTCAGTGACAGCAACAAAGAGCAGCTGGCTAAGTTTATTTACAAAGCTTAAAACTTTTTGTTTCCAACGACCGCCTATTTGAGCTCATATTCAACAGCAGACACATCATTCTTGAGGTTCACCTCAAAGTCCGCCTCTCGAGTGCTCTGAAATAAGGCAAAAGGCGTCCAAAGCATGAGTTCTTGCGAACTATGTTGAAAACACCTAACTCTGAGTCAAAGAGCTCCGCATAGCTCCGCCCTCCACGTCAAACACCTGGCCTCTGGAGACTCAGCTGATGAGACTTTGCCCCATTTATCCACCTCCACACGGATGTATCCACCTCACACAGCTTTGCAGCAGAAAACTGCAACACACATAACAGTAATACATAAAGCATAAATCATTGGTTAGTAAAGACTGCAAAGACATATTTCAAAAAACACATAAAAACACAGATCTGCCTTTCATTCTGACCTTTGCATTCTGCACGCGAATGTAGGTGCCAGCCTGCACAGCTTAGCGCCCACAGTTTGGTCACAGTTCTTTCGAGAAATCCTAAAACGAAAGCTCTCATTCTGAGCTTTCCTCACAGGGAAGAAACTGCGAGGGGGTCAAGTTCAGCGTCACTGTGCCACTTGCCTGAGTTGGAGTTGCGATTTTGGAGAAAGAAACAAATATATATATATACACAGAAAAGTGCAGAGAGCACTTTACCAAACACGAAGAGTCCCCTTGCATGTTGCACCCACATGACAAAGGACAAATATAGATTCTAGAGTCATGTTCCTTTGTGGCGCGTCTTCTGAAGATGCGTTGAAGCGACATCCCCACAAATCACCTCATGCAGCTTCTCTCCGTCCACCACGTCGGGTAACCTGGGCCCGGGAATGCACCAAAAACTAGGAACTGTTTCGACCATGCGAAGAGTTCTTGAAGGAAGCTTCTGCCCCACTCCTCGTCTACTAAAGTTGCTTGTTCCTGCCACCTTTACTGCTTAAGTTGCCAACTAAATGCAACCCCCTCACAACCTACATTTTTACAGAAGGGCAGGCCCTGGAAGTGGAGGTGCATTTTGGTATTTTTTTTCAAGGATCTACTCAGATGAATTGCCAAGGACATCTCAACTGCTGTCCTCTGACAAAATGCAGAGTACCGAAAAAAAAATAATAAAACCAAAAAAAATAAAACCAAAAACAACAATCCTGACAGACTCTTTGGACACCCCCCCACCCCCAGTCCAAGACCTCCCAGGAATTGTTTTTTTTGTTTTTTTGTTTGTTTTTTTTTGATTTGGGGGGGTGTCCAAGACCTCCCCTAGAAGACTCTTTGGTGAGAAAACCAAAAAAACAAAAAAAACAATCCTAGAAGAATCTTTGGTGAGAAAACCAAAAAAAGAAAAAGCAAAAAACAATCCTGACAGAGTCTTTGGACACCCCCCCCAGCCCAAGACCTCCCAGCAATTGTCGTTGTTGTTGTGTTTGTTTTTTTTGGTTTACTCACCAAAGAGTCTTCTAGGATTTTTTTTGGACACCCACCCCAAGACAAGACTTCTGAAGAATTGGTTATTTGTGTGGCTTTTATTTTATGTTTTGGTATCTCTAACTTGTTCATCACATTCATCAGAACAATTCTCACAAATAGAGCACCTTGTAGCATTTCTGAATTTCTACTTATTCACCCTTCATGCGTTCGTGTCGACGACGCGCTACCGGAGACACTCTGGTCGGTCCGGCAGGAAAATAGTCACTAGACAGGAACATGCACCTAATTTAGGCAACACAAAGCGAGAAATCGAAGCACCACGTTGATAGGCTTTGAGTACAGCCATCGAGGAACAAGGCTGCAAATCTCTGAAGTTCAGCTCCGGAAATATACGGTCGTCCACCTTGGGTACAGCCTTTAGGAATGGCACGACCACAGTGATGAACCGCGGTGGAGTTGTGCACTCCAGGCAGAATTGTCTGTTCACCAAATTGGTAAAGATTGGAGCAAACTCGCTTGACCACCTTCAAGACATCCAAAAGTTGGCGAAGAGACACTGGAGAGACTAAATTTCCGGGCGCAAAAAAGAAAAGTGAGTTCCACATATGCCACCGATTGGGCGGGATGTACGTGCCATTTCAAGGACATCAAGAAATCCAGCACGGCTTCCCGATCCTCTCCACTTACACGTAGGCTCTCTTCAATGTCACGGTTCAGTGCAGTCGGGGCCCATGAGAACAAGTGAAGCTGGGGATGCCAATCCCACTGTGGGAACCGCAATTGAAAAGCATTGTCATCACGCACATCCAACTGTTCTTCTTTTGTGGAAGCAATGACCCTTTGTGGAGCAGCAAACCCAATGACTTGATTCAATTCAGCAAGTGCAACCTGTCGTTTGTACGCCTCCTGCTGAACATATGGAAACAATTGAGGATGGATTGCTGCAGACCGAAGGGCACATGTCCTTGCAGCCTCGTCTGCTATGCGGTTGCACCGAACTGCTTGCGGTGTGAGGCCAAAAGGTTGTGTATGTTCCATCAAAATGTTGCTGAGCGGGACATGGTCGCAAACATGTGCTTTCTGCCACTTCAACTGCAAAGGCATGGAATGAGTGCGTTTGCGATCGTGCCAAATATTGGCAATTCGTGACCACATGGCCAAATTGGCTCCAAGACTTTGCAATTCGTTCCGTCGTCAAGAAAGTTTGAAACAAATCAACGATGGTCTGACAGTCTGTGTGGATGGTCAGAGGGCCATCTTGCTTGGCAAAGGCCTGGAGAATTGCGTAAAGCTCTGCTGTATACGAGTTCAGGCACAAATGTCTGACGCAATCAACTTCAATGCACTGTTCCTGTTCATCAACAATGGAGTACGCTGCACAAGTCAACCAGAAGGATTCTGGGAAAACAACTGAGCCGTCTGTCCATAAAGAAACATGAGGCTTTGAAGGATCAAAAACAGCAATGCAGGAAGGATCCCAGGCTGTCATAGCCAGTCTTTGGTCAGCCACTTTGACTGGGTGCTCAAAGATCACAAGCAGCATAAAATTTGAGCCGAACTCATGCTCTTGAAGCTTTTTGGGAGCAATGGATGATGCCCCACACTCTCGGACGATATGGTTCAAACTTTCCTTGGTTGCGCCACAAAAGCGACAGTCTGAAGTGTCGTCAAAACCTGCAGCTTTCCTGCGGTCGTTGGTGACCGTACAACCCACTATCTGAGCGTCAAAATGGGGAAGCAAACTTTTGTAATCAAGAGAATGTTTATGGCGTTGACGAAAGATGGTGGATAAGTATCCATCGACCAAACCGTTAGGTTTATAGAAGTCTTTACGTGGTTTCTTTGCAGAGTTCTCATAACAAAACTGCTGGCCCATCACAAAAATCCTTCGGAGCGACATCAAGAATCTGGAAACGATTCGTACCGATGCCAACATCAAGGTTGGGGTACAATGCCAAATGGAAGATCTTCAAGGCCTTAGTGAAATGATACAACAAGCTATGAGGTGATTGCATGGAGCACTCGTAAGTGGAAACAAGAACTGCAAGGTTTTCGGGGTGGAGGTGGAGAAACCTCCACATATTCCGGACTGCAGTGTACGCCCGAGCAACCGTGGGTTCCACATAACATGGTTGAGCAAGAAAACAGAAAACAAGCATCTTTGATCTCCAATGCGGGCGGTTGTACCACAAGGCTGAAGCAATCGCATTTTGAAAGCGATTAATGACACTTACTGGTATGGACGAAATGTCTGCAGCAAAAGTGAATTGGGGAATAACCTTTGTTGCAATCAACTTGGCTTTTACCTTTTGTGGCAGTGGCAATGCGGAAATATTTTTAATATCTGCGCAAATACGTTCCACTTTGGCATCAGGACAAGCCATGGCATTACACGCGGAGGTGTAAATCTTTGTTCCTAAGACGTCAAATTCCAAAGCAATGGGAATCGCAGGAAACATCAAGCGGGCTTCTTTCCGAGCCTTTTTTGAGGTTGCCCACAAAGTACTTTTGCTCGGATTGAGTTTTTGGCCAATTAGATTGTTCCACTGTTCTGTAACCAACAAGGCTTGTCTCAACTGAGCCATGTGTTGGAGTTTGACCCGCTAATAAGCATCGTCAATGAACGCCTTACATGTGACATGCGGGACCGCGGGATCAAAGTGACGAATCTTACCCATACAGCCATGTAGACGTTAATTGCAAGGAGGGAAAAGCTACACCCTTGGGCCACCCCGTTGGCGCAGGTGATAGTCTTAGAAGAAACCCACCCTCGATACGAAAGATGCTTCGTGAGGCCAGTATACATTTTTACAAAGAAGTTCACAATTCCTTTCGGGATGCCAAACGCTAAGAACAAAGCGGCAGCGAACTGCGGTACGATCCTATCGAAACACTTTGACTGATCTAATTTGATGCCTACTAGTGGCTGCTGGCAAGCTTCAGCATGGTCAATTTCAATACGGAGTCCAGTGCTGATGGCAGTCATGGATCGCTCGGCTATACCACCACATAGCTGGGCAGAGAGTATCGTGGTCTGCCACGTTTGCAGATGGCGGAAGCGAGTTCCTGTATAGGCTAACAGCAATGGAGACAAGACCGTGATGAGACGCTTGTTCAAAGGGTCTACAGGTCCAGCCTTGTGTAAAAT